AACATTGCATATAAAATATTTTGACTCAAAAAATAATTAGTTGAATCTTGGTATGATACTAGGGACTAAAGGAGACTTGCAAAGGCGAATACCAAAACATTGATCCAACCAATGAACTATGTCTGCAATATCTTACAATGTTTAAGAAGGTAAAATTATATTATTTTTTTTATTTTGCTACATGTATTATTTTTAATAGAAGGTGAGCCATAGCGCTACAGTTAGAGGTGACGCCGTGCGACCAAACAGTCACGAGTTGCAAAAAATACAAGGTAAGATTGTGTAATATGGTCGGCCCCTTTTCCGGCCCCGTTCATCGCGACCGGAGCTTAGCGTATCGAATTGCTCCTGTATATTTTTTTAATAATATTCTTATAAGGTTGTAATTAAGCTTAGCTAACCACTATAATGCTCTTGGTATGTAATTTTTGTAGCTTGTAAGTGGTATAAATGATCAGCATATACTAGAGCCTCTTTGTGGATTAGACAAATTATTTGGCGAAGGAAGATCTTTTGAAGAGGAATTCATCTTTCTAAAACATGATGATGATTTCATTTGTCAAAAAAGTCGTGTAAGTCCCTTAACTCTTACTTGAAAGTATGAAATATTTGCACCAAATTGTCAATAACATAACGTTAAAAAAAAATAAAAAAAAATTCAAGGACATATAGTGCTAGAAACACGTGTTTTTCGACACATTTCTGTCGAACATGTGCTCGTCGAAAATTGTTTCAGACAGTTTTCTATCACAACTTCAAGATTTTCGAAGAATTTTTGACAAAAATGTCCGTCAGAAAAACACGTATTTCTAATAGAGAGAAATGTCCTTCTCATAACTTTCTCATTTTTATATATTGTATTTCTTTACTATTGATTATTGTACTTACTCGAACCGATAATTCCCATGAAACAGTTTCTCTACCCGCACATGATAGGGGTAAGGAATATGTACACATTATCCTTTCTAAACTCTATTTATGAGAATGTATTGAGTATGTTATTGTTGTCGTCTAGTATATAGAAATGAAAGAGACATATAATCCTTCTCTCTTTCTTGATTTTTTACTACTGATTATTGTGCTTACTCGAATCGATAGACTCCATGAAACAGCTTCTCTACCCGCACATGATAAGAGTAAGGAATGTGTACACATTATCCTTTCTAAACTCCATTTATGAGAATATATTGAGTATGTTATTGTTGTCGTCTAGTAGATAGAAATGAAAGATACATATAATCCTTCTCTCTTTCTTGATTTTTTACTACTGATTATTGTGCTTACTCGAATCGATAGTCTCCATGAAACAGCTTCTCTACCCACACATGATAAGGGTAAGGAATGTGTACACATTATCCTTTCTAGACTCCATTTATGAGAATATATTGAGTATGTTATTGTTGTCGTCTAGTAGATAGAAATGAAAGAGACATATAATTCTTCTCTCTTTCTTGATTTTTTATTAACAAAAACTGATAAATGCAGGGCAATTTTATACAATCAGACCTCTCTATAACAACGCCTCTATATAACAACCACTCATTATAAAAGTCAAATTATTTCGAAACCGATTTTTACGTTATAATATAATATATGTCCTCTATAACATCATTTCATTATAGCAGCCAAAAAATATCGAAAAAAAGAAAATTATTATAGAGAGGTGTGACAGCACATGTGCTTTCTAAATTGTAGGTTGCCACACACAAGCTCTCCCATTATTGGGCAAATGACCCTAGAGTTCAAAAGGTTCTCCAAATTAGAAAGGTATTTCAATTATTTATTTGTACATATAGTAAAGGTTACTTAGCTCTAAATTAAAGTGCAATATATTAAAAGATTTTCTTTTTCTTTGTTTTTCTTTGATTAGGGAACAATGAGAGAACTATGGGTGAGATGTAGGCGAACACTTTTGAATGTAACTTACATATTGACTTTCAGCAATAGTATACCTTACCATATTAACCTTAGTTCTAAAGGTTATCGATCACTTATATACAGGTTTGATATACTTTCCAAACTAAAGCAATGTTCGTCAACGGGTGCTTGACGTTATGTTGCTCGAACTCTCTTATAATATTTCTGCGTGCATATCCAATTCTTCAAGCATTGCATTTTTGGAGGATTCGATACGGATATAGCAACGTTTTGGAGAATTCGCGACATAAGCTTCAAGCATCCTAAATCTTAGTTGAGGCTCATGGATATATATATATAACAATTTTTATTTTTTTTTATTTTTTTTATTAAAAACAGTGGCGATCACGACATGGTTGTTCCTTTCCAATCAACACAAGCATGGATAAAATATTTAAATTATTCTATTATTGATGATTGGCGTCCATGGACTGTTGATGGTCAGGTTGCAGGGTATGATTTCTCCAACTTTGACGTATTTGATTTTTATTAAAATTAAATTAGACAATACGATTTTAATCAAATCATAAATTATATATCTTTGATTTGCAGTTATACAAGATCTTATTCTAATTATATGACATTTGCAACTGTGAAGGCAAGAATTTCTTACTCTATAATTTTTTAATTAAATATCTAATCTAAAATTTCTATAGTAAAATTGTGATTTTGTGCTCATATTCTCATATTTTTCAATGTCTTTGTTTTTCTTTCTTGTTTTTTATTTACTTTAGGGAGGAGGGCACACAGCTCCTGAGTACAAACGTGAAGAGTGTTTTCATATGTTTAAAAGATGGATAACTCAACAACCTTTGTAAACATGTAACCCCATCGAAGATTAATTTATTAAATAGCCATTATTAAGCATCTGTCTTCTTTTCTTTCCGATTTTTATGTGTGAGGGTGCAAAAATTAACTGTAAAAATAGTACGGGCTAGCCAGTTTTCGGACTAATCATTCAAAAATAGTCAACGTTTGTCAAGTCATTGAAAAATATCCGCTATTTTGCTGCAACAGAAACCGGTCCAGCATATATACTGGAGTTGGGTGCACATGTGTATGTATTTCCAGTACATTATGCTGGAACTCCAACACGCGGAAAGTTCCAGCATAATATACTGGAGATTCGAGCACCTGTGTAAGAACTTCCAGAATATTATACTGGACCGATATAGTTTGCTGGAAATCCAGTATATTATGCTGGAGTTCTAGTATATTTATGCTGGAACTCCATTATATTATCCTGGAGTTCCAGTATACTTATGCTGGAACTCCAGTATAATATGCTGGAGTTTCACTATACTTATGCTGGAACTCTAGTATAATATACTGGAATATTTTCCGGATCTTGAACAATGTGTTCGTTCAAATTTATCTTTACATGAAAAGTGACTAAATTTTAATTACTTTTGAAAGTGTGACTATTTTTGAATGAGCACTTGTAAATCTGGTTATTTTTGAATTTCTCCCGAATTAACTTAGTCTAACAATATCTTGTTCTGACTGGAAAATTCAGTCTAATTAATTACTGCATTAACTATCTCTTCTTCTCTTTGTGAATTTTTTTTTTTTTTTTATAACAAATATGAGATAATATAAAAACCTCTAGTTCTTCTTTGAAAAACAGGTGAGATTCCAATTAAAACAAAATGCCATTCTTGAACGATTTTGACAGGGCTTTTGCATCTATATCCACTTTTTGGGTCATATTTTAATTTATACCCGCTTTGCAAAAAAATTACAAGCGTATCCACTTTTCGCATAAACTTCAGGCTTACGGGTCTGGAGTAGCAAAGGCAATCACACAAAGGTTCAGCATTCTAGGCTTTTTCGAAAACTTCAGCAGAATGCTGAAGTTATTTAGTTCATTTGTAAAAACTTCAGCACTAAATAAGCTGAAGTTTTGTCCTGGATTAAATAATTTTGTCATAAAGCTTTTTCAATAACTTCAGCAGAAGATGCTGAAGTTATTTAGTTCATTTATAAAAACTCCAGCACTAAATAAGCTGAAGTTTTTTCTTGAATTAATTAGTTTTGTCATAAAGCTTTTTCAAAAAACTTCAGTGCTGAAGTTATTTAGTTCGTTTTTAAAATCTTCAGCAGAAGATGGTGAAGTTATTAAGTTCATTTGTAAAAACTTCAGCATCAGATAAGCTGAAGTTTTGTCCTGGATTCATTAGTTTTGCAGTAAAGCTTTTTCAAAAACTTCAGCAGAAGATGCTGAAGTTATTTAGTTCATTTGTAAAAACTTTAGCACTAAATATGCTGAAGTTTTGCACAGGTATTAGAAAGGTGGCGCCTGAAATTGTAAAAATTAAGATATATATTAAATAATTTAAAAATAAAGGTATAAATTAAATGAGAGCGATCAAATAAGGCGCCTGCGCAATTTTTGATGTCAATTAGGTAGCATCAAGTTAATTTTGCACAATTTTTGCGTTTCTCTATTTAGATTGTTTGAAAAAATGACAACTTTAATAAATTGCCGAAATAATAAAAAAATAAACAAGTTGACAGTTACCTCTTTCTCCTCCCGTACAACCTTTTCACCACCACCCCTCCATGTCCATGATTTGTTGGTCCCTAAAGTTTAAATAATAATAAATAAATAAATAAAAATTGTAATTAAAATTTAGAGATCAACTTTGGTCGTTAAATATATATTATTAAAATATTATACCGACCGAAGTTGGTCGGTATTTTATTTATCCTAAATATTTGGTTCTTTTAACTTAGTGACCAACGTTGGTCGCTAAATTAAAAGGACCACCAATATAGCGACCAATCCATTTTGGACGCGTTTTGGTCGGTATATTGTGATAAGCGACCAACTTTGGTCGCTATTTGTGGTCTCTTTTTGCCGGATTTCTAGCAGTGTGTACACGCAAATCGAAAAGGATAAAATGAGATTTTTAAGGCTAACGAGTGCAGAATTAAATTTTAAAACGTAAGTTTAGGTCATCACATATTATGTGATTTTTAAAAAAATGATCTTCATATAGAATACACACGTAACACGCTTGCCCAAAAACTATTAGAACAAAATAAGTAACGGCTATTTTTAAACCTTCAATCCGTAGCAGCCCACTAATCCCTGGCTCCAATTTTCTTCAATAATAAGTTGTATGCAGAAGGAAAAAGATTGTTCCTAGAAGTTGTATGCGATACTAAACACCTTCCCCCTGTTATTTTTCTGTCTGTTTTCTTTAAAGCAACGAATCCTGTGCCTTGATTCTTTCTTGTTTCCTGTGTTAGTTATAAGTTTCAATAATGAAAAATAATATATTATATTGGGCGTAGGATCACAAGGGATTCAAGAAGCAACACTAGTCGGGAATAGATAAAGGAACATAATCAATAATCAGCATGGAAAAGGAAGAAGTAGCGAAAATTCGGCAAGAATAATCAATTTAATTAATTACAGTAGCTAATTCTTATATATTAAGTTTCTGAGAAAAGTAACATTTCTTCACATTTATGGACCTACATTTGTTGTCACTTTCTATCTGCGCAAAGAAAAATAAGACCATAGTACTGCTTTTGGTTAGTACAACTGTTGACAAAGAAAATTACTGGGATATTACCCTTCGTTTTCTTTGTAGCTTTATTTATCGGCTTGTACTTTTAGTTGTTCCTTGTGTACATATTACTGTTGAATTTGGTGCAGGGAGGGTGGGTGGTCTTTGAAGGAATTACCTACTTCCTTCTATTACAGTGCAAAGAAAACCCTATAACAATAATAATTCTAATCAACTGGAGTAAACATTAAGATGAAGCTTCACAAAAAAATCCTACAATTTACTTTCTATTAGGAGTAGTCGGTGGCGGATTTAGGATTTTGCGAATATGAGTGCACTATTACGAAGAGGCGAATCTAGGATATAAATTTTACAGGTTTAACGTTTGGTTCTTACTATTGCACCCATTACAATTTTGAAATTATAAGTTCAAAATTATTATTTTTTAATTGTAATTTTCTTATATCTATTTCCATACTCCGTACTTAAAATATTGGGATCAGTTTAACCCAATAGCATACACTGCATTATGCACTAGTTTAATATGCAAATTTTATTTAATCATATAAGATTTTTCGGTGACAAATAACAAATAGGAATTTTAATATGTGAAAATTTTAAAAGAATAAATCAAAAAGAAAGAAAGAAAGAAAAAGAAATGTATTTAATTAATACGCACCAAGTGATGCCTAGTTTTAGAAAAGAAAAAATAACAATAAGATTGTCATAGGAAAAAGGATTGAAAGGTCGACCAGATAATTTTTTTTTTTTTTTTTTTTACCAGAATGATATGTTCCACAATATATTGTACAATTTTGTCGAAACTTTATAATAACTTTCTTAACGTTAATAAATTGGGAACAAGTTTACGATTAAATTTCACATGTGATCATTCAACTTTGTGTTTATTATCCAACAAAAATGAAAAATATTTTGCTAGATGAAGACTTTGTCATCCTCGGTAGAAAACTAAAATAGAAAAAGAATTCAATCAATGGAGACCTTTTTCTCTTTGGAGCAATAATTCAATTCAATTGGGAAGGAATTTCCTACTCCCTTCTATTAAAGTTCAAAGAAAACCCAATAATTCCTTTTATTGCATTAAGAAGAATTTTCCTACTAGTGTATATCAGTTGACTAGGACACCAATAATTCTATGGAGTAGAGCCCATCTCACACAAACTTTTTCCAATAGCAATATAACTCTTATCTCTTCTAATATATATAAAAATTTGTTGAAAATATCATCTATTATTCTCTTACCACAATCACAATTTTTTCACATACAGTTTCTTACTCTTTTCAGAGAATTAACGTTGAGTCCATGGCATCTTCTTCTTCTTCTTCTAGATGGAGCTATGATGTTTTCTTAAGTTTTAGAGGCGAAGATACTCGAAAAACGTTTACAAGTCACTTATACGAAGTCTTGAATGATAAGGGAATAAAAACCTTTCAAGATGATAAAAGGCTAGAGTACGGCGCAACCATCCCAGGTGAACTCTGTAAAGCTATAGAAGAGTCTCAATTTGCCATTGTTGTTTTCTCAGAGAATTATGCAACATCAAGGTGGTGTTTGAATGAACTAGTGAAGATCATGGAATGCAAAACTCGATTTAAGCAAACTGTTATACCGATATTCTATGATGTGGATCCATCACATGTTCGGAACCAAAAGGAGAGCTTTGCAAAAGCCTTTGAAGAACATGAAACAAAGTATAAGGATGATGTTGAGGGAATACAAAGATGGAGGATTGCTTTAAATGAAGCGGCCAATCTCAAAGGCTCATGTGATAATCGTGACAAGTGAGTTAAAAACATATAAGCTGAATACTTTGCATTCAAATGAGTTAAACATAATCTTAAATAAATTTTTCAATTTTTTGGAATAAATTGATAGTTGATTATATATGTTTCTATCAGTTAATTACAAACTCAATAACATTATTACGTAGATAAAATTTTTATTAGTTCTTCAAAGAGTTTGATTTATGTGCACACTCTTTGTATATATCACAATCTTTTTACTTTTGTAGGACTGATGCAGACTGTATTCGACAGATTGTTGACCAAATCTCATCCAAATTATGCAAGATTTCTTTATCTTATTTGCAAAACATTGTTGGAATAGATACTCATTTAGAGAAAATAGAATCCTTACTAGAGATAGGAATCAATGGTGTTCGGATTATGGGGATCTGGGGAATGGGGGGAGTCGGTAAAACAACAATAGCAAGAGCTATATTTGATACTCTTTTAGGAAGAATGGATAGTTCCTATCAATTTGATGGTGCTTGTTTCCTTAAGGATATTAAAGAAAACAAACGTGGAATGCATTCTTTGCAAAATGCCCTTCTCTCTGAACTTTTAAGGGAAAAAGCTAATTACAATAATGAGGAGGATGGAAAGCACCAAATGGCTAGTAGACTTCGTTCGAAGAAGGTCCTAATTGTGCTTGATGATATAGATAATAAAGATCATTATTTGGAGTATTTAGCAGGTGATCTTGATTGGTTTGGTAATGGTAGTAGAATTATTATAACAACTAGAGACAAGCATTTGATAGAGAAGAATGATATAATATATGAGGTGACTGCACTACCCGATCATGAATCCATTCAATTGTTCAAACAACATGCTTTCGGAAAAGAAGTTCCAAATGAGAATTTTGAGAAGCTTTCATTAGAGGTAGTAAATTATGCTAAAGGCCTTCCTTTAGCCCTCAAAGTGTGGGGTTCTTTGCTGCATAACCTACGATTAACTGAATGGAAAAGTGCTATAGAGCACATGAAAAATAACTCTTATTCTGGAATTATTGATAAGCTCAAAATAAGTTATGATGGATTAGAGCCCAAACAACAAGAGATGTTTTTAGATATAGCATGCTTCTTGCGAGGGGAAGAAAAAGATTACATCCTACAAATCCTTGAGAGTTGTCATATTGGAGCTGAATACGGGTTACGTATTTTAATTGACAAATCTCTTGTGTTCATCTCTGAATATAATCAGGTTCAAATGCATGACTTAATACAGGATATGGGTAAATATATAGTGAATTTTCAAAAAGATCCCGGAGAACGTAGCAGATTATGGCTCGCCAAGGAAGTCGAAGAAGTGATGAGCAACAACACAGTAAGTAAGCTAAATAATGCAATAATATTTAATTTCTAATTTTATATTCTAAAGACACATAGGGCAGTCAATTCCAGTTATTTGTTCCTCTTGCTTCATAGTCTTGCAGGTACATCATTTTAGTTGTTTACTTTAGTTAGTAGGAGATATAAAAGTAATATTAATTACCTCATTAGTAAAAAAAAACATTAATTGCCTAATTTGTTTAGTAGCCGCTTTAATTTACGTTCCCTAATTCGTTTTTTCTTATATTTTTTAGGGATGGATTAGTCTAGTAGCCACTTAATCTGTTTGATCCAATGTCTTTCTTTGGATTAACTTGAAAATTTTATGACATTATATATAATAACTCAATCATTCATTCACTTTACCATTATTATTTTTTATATAAAGTTACAATTTATTGGTACTGTTTCAGTTACAATTACTTTCCAACATGGAAAACTTATAAACTGGACTCCAATAAACTTCTAAGAAAAATGTAATAATAGAAAATAAAATTATATAATTAATTACAAAAAAGTATTTTTCTGAAGTAACATCAGTATTTCTTAAAAAGAATCCAATTAACATTGTATCTTAAACTTTGGTATTGTAAGGAGTGAGAAAGTAGTGGCCTTATTTCAATTTGACGTGAAGAATAGAATGCCTTTTAACGACATAAGGGAAGGGGGCAAGAATAAGTTTCTATTCAGCCGGGCTCGAAGCAGAAGGTAGAACGTAATATCTTTTGTTGGTTCAGCTCATCAAGCTATTACAAAAGAGTCCGCTCATATTAACAAACGGAGTTTATACGACATTTGAAATTATACTTTGTAGACTAATGATCTTCTTGTTACCAGGGGACCATGGCAATGGAAGCAATTTGGGTTTCTTCTTATTCTAGTACTCTACGCTTTAGCAATCAGGCCGTGAAAAATATGAAAAGGCTTAGGGTATTTAACATGGGGAGGTCGTCGACACATTATGCCATCGATTATCTGCCCAACAACTTGCGTTGTTTTGTTTGCACTAACTATCCTTGGGAGTCATTTCCATCTACATTTGAACTCAAAATGCTTGTTCACCTCCAACTCCGACACAATTCTCTGCGTCATTTATGGACAGAAACAAAGGTACAATAGCTTGAATTCTATTTTGTTGTCATTTATTTTTCTCTCTAACTATCTTTGTCCTTTAATTTTGGTGATAATGAACAAATATTATTGTTTTTTGTTATGAAACAATAAAAGAAGAAGAACAATATTGCAGAGAAAGAGGGAGATGGAATTCTTATTGAATTTTGGGGCGATTTACAATGGGGTAAGACCCCTCTATTTACAGGGGAAAAATAACTTAGCCTCAAAATAAAGCTCTTTAAAAGATAGACATTCACTCTAAATAGAATTCTATTATAACACTTTTGGCGTACTTCCTTTTTTGGCTAGAATTATGATACATGTCTTTAAATGAACAGAAGTTGCTTTTGTAATTTATCAGGACTTATGTTGAAACTTATGAAAATTGTTATTGTTTATGTTGTCTAATACTAAATATAAAATACAATAATATTTTATCGTAATTTTTTAAAAATTTGTCAAATAATGCAAATGAAAAATTAAATTTTTTGGTCCTTTAAAAATTTGAGAATGAAAAAGTACGAGTTATACTTCCTAAAAGTTTGATAGTGAATAATATGTAAAATTTAAAGAATGACTAATATTGGACTAATACTTTAAAACAAATAACTTAATATACAAATTATAGCGAGACATTTTCATTCGTTGTACTGAATGCAAGAAAGAAAGGAAAAAAAAACTCATTTATAATATAGTTTGTCTTCTACTATTTTACCTTATTGCTTCAAATTTGTATTTTATCGATTTTGCTATATCTTATGATTTTTTTCACGGTCAATATTCTTCTTACAAGAATAAATTTTATATACCTCAAGTGTTTTGTCAATTTGATAAATAATTTTTCTTATATGATGAACTTGTAAAATAATAGAATTGGATTCTTTTGCTAATTAGTTAATTCAACGACTTAATTATTTATTCTCAACATTAAAGGAAATAATTTAGTTTTTATTAATTCAAACTCTTAGTATTTGCTCATTCTAATTTTCAGTCCAATAAGAATTCAATTTTCAAATAGTAAGAAAAGTCATATATTTTGAATTTTATGTTTTCCGAAGCATTGTTTGTTTGTTTAACTCCTACGGGAGTTTTCTAACTCACATTTTGTATAATAAAATTTTTTGAGTAGTAGTTCAGTACAACTCTAATATTAATGGGCTTTAAATAAGGAAATATATATTACGTAAAAATTTAAATCATTTTAAAGTTCTTTCCTACCAAGTAAATAAGGGAAAATTTAATAACAAAAATTTAGTTGATTTTAAAATCCTAAATATTAGAAAATTAACTTAAAATATAATTTCGTCTAGTGTAAAATTTATTTTTAAAGGGTAAAAAAGACGAACGACATTAAGAGCCTTTGTAATTTTAATATAGTATAAATATAAATAATTTACCTTTATTCAGTTTCTTAACAAGTAATTTTCCATATATAAAAAATAAATTTCTATATTCACACAAAAATAATGTGTTGGCCCTCGTAATTCAAATACTATCATTCATTTCTTGTCGAGGGAGTAGTAAATACTTTTAGGAAAGTTAGCAATAAGTAATCAAGAAATCAAGAAAACAGAGGTCATTTGATGCCCACAAATACAAATGAAAAAACAAAACAAATGTTACGAAACAATAAAAGAACAAGAATAGCCTCAAAGTAAAACTCTCTGATAGACATTTACTCTAAATAGAATTCTATTTATAACAATCAAAAAGTTTCTACATTTATAGATAGCTCCACTAGCCAAATATTTTATTATTGGAATCAGCAAAATAGGTTGTTTCTTTTTTTATTCTCATTCTGTCTGTGTTCTAAACAGCATTTGCCGTCTCTACGGAGGATAGATCTCAGCTGGTCTAAAAGATTGACGCGAACACCAGATTTCACGGGGATGCCAAATTTGGAGTATGTGAATTTGTATCAATGTAGTAATCTTGAAGAAGTTCACCATTCCCTGGGATGTTGCAGCAAAGTCATTGGTTTATATTTGAATGATTGTAAAAGCCTTAAGAGGTTTCCATGTGTTAACGTGGAATCTCTTGAATATCTGGGTCTAAGAAGTTGCGATAGTTTAGAGAAATTGCCAGAAATCTACGGGAGAATGAAGCCGGAGATACAGATTCACATGCAAGGCTCTGGGATAAGGGAACTACCATCATCTATTTTTCAGTACAAAACTCATGTTACCAAGCTATTGTTGTGGAATATGAAAAACCTTGTAGCTCTTCCAAGCAGCATATGTAGGTTGAAAAGTTTGGTTAGTCTGAGTGTGTCGGGTTGCTCAAAACTTGAAAGCTTGCCAGAAGAGATAGGGGATTTAGACAACTTACGGGTGTTTGATGCCAGTGATACTCTAATTTTACGACCTCCGTCTTCCATCATACGCTTGAACAAACTTATAATCTTGATGTTTCGAGGCTTCAAAGATGGAGTGCACTTTGAGTTCCCTCCTGTGGCTGAAGGATTACACTCATTGGAATATCTGAATCTCAGTTACTGCAATCTAATAGATGGAGGACTTCCGGAAGATATTGGATCCTTATCCTCTTTGAAAAAGTTGGATCTCAGTAGAAATAATTTTGAGCATTTGCCTTCAAGTATAGCCCAACTTGGTGCTCTTCAATCCTTAGACTTAAAAGATTGCCAGAGGCTTACACAGCTACCAGAACTTCCCCCAGAATTAAATGAATTGCATGTAGATTGTCATATGGCTCTGAAATTTATCCATGATTTAGTAACAAAGAGAAAGAAACTACATAGAGTGAAACTTGATGATGCACACAATGATACTATGTACAATTTGTTTGCATATACCATGTTTCAGAATATCTCTTCCATGAGGCATGACATCTCTGCTTCAGATTCCTTGTCACTAACAGTATTTACCGGTCAACCGTATCCTGAAAAGATCCCGAGTTGGTTCCACCATCAGGGTTGGGATAGTAGTGTATCAGTCAATTTGCCTGAAAATTGGTATATACCTGATAAATTCTTGGGATTTGCTGTATGTTACTCTCGTAGCTTAATTGACACAACAGCTCACTTGATTCCCGTATGTGATGACAAGATGTCGCGCATGACCCAGAAACTTGCCTTATCAGAATGTGATACAGAATCATCCAACTATTCAGAATGGGATATACATTTTTTCTTTGTACCTTTTGCTGGCTTATGGGATACATCTAAGGCAAATGGAAAAACACCAAATGATTATGGGATTATTAGGCTATCTTTTTCTGGAGAAGAGAAGATGTATGGACTTCGTTTGTTGTATAAAGAAGGACCAGAGGTTAATGCCTTGTTACAAATGAGGGAAAATAGCAATGAACCAACAGAACATTCCACTGGGATAAGGAGGACTCAATATAACAACAGAACTTCCTTTTATGTAAGTCTCTACTTCTATTAGCTACAAAGTCTTCTTCCAAAATCAATACTCCATCCGTTCCAGTTTATGTGAACCTATTTTTTGTTCGTCCATTCTAAAAAGAATGACCCCTTTCTAAATTTGGAAATAATTTTGGTTAAACTTATAATTCTACCATTAACGAGAAGCTTTTATAACCACACAAATATTCTGGGGCCCTTTTTGAATTGTTTAGGACCATAAATTCCAAAAGTCCTCATTTTTTCTTAAACTCCGTGCCCAATCAAACAAGTTCACGTAAATTGGAACGGAGGGAATATATTTTTTCTTCTCATTCTTTTCCCCTATTTACAGGAGCTCATCAATGGGTGATGTACATATCAACAACGAGTTTTTAAAGGATTCCAACAAGTATAACTTTTTATGCTCAAATCAGCTCCTTGTATTGTGGAGAAAGCTGAGTACGAGATGAAGTTGACGTCCGTTATCCTTTATGATCTCTCTGTTCTTTGTGTTAACTTGCCTACTTCATCAGATGAATAACAGAAGCCCGTTCCTCTCATTCTCAACACTGTTTGCACGTCTGTTGTTACTTGTTAAAATGGATCTTGATAAAGTAATAACATCTCTATATTACTTATAAGTGGTTTTAACAAGTTCACTCTTTTGCTTTTGCAGTTCAAATGGGAACACAATGTATATTGAGAACTAGAACAATGACACTGCATATATATATATATATGTATGTATGTAATTCTCGTCTTTTGGACTAGAATACCTTGTTTCATTATGAAATGAATTAACATCTTCGCCTTTGCTGACAAGTAACCAATTACAGATGAATGAAATCACCTGATCAACATTCATTAGCTTTGTATTCTTTGACGATTTCGGTTTCATAACTCTTTCCCCTGCAGTTAAAATATGTAGTTAGCCCGATTGCACCTCTAGGGCGCAGCGGAGTATTAAAAAAAAAAAGATCTTTCTCATTTGTCTAAGTCTTGGTAGTCAGAATTACGAGTTTGTATAAAGTTGGCTCAAACATCACCTTTGTATAAGAAAAATACATACACACACAGTAGAAAGAAACAGATACCTTCGCAAATTTGATTGGGAGGTACTGATTTCTTCTTTCAGTTGGCGATTAGCCTCTTGTGTCATCTTTGGAGCTTCTTATGATTTTTTTTTCTTAGGTAAAATTCATTTAATAATTTGTTAATCATATTACTGTTGGGCTAAACTAGCCCCGATACACTCATAACATGGTGTGATATTGTTCGCTTTGGGCCAAGCCCGTATGGTTTTCCCCAAAAGGCCTCGCACCATTAAGAGATCCATACACCTTAAATGTAGACTCACAATCTTTTCAGCTATTAATGTGGCACTTTATTCGCATACCCAACATTATGTCTACACTACAGGAATTAGAGTTGGAACAGAGTTTTAAAACTAGTCAAAGAGTTTTGGAGCTAACAAAACTATCTTGATAAATATAATACAAACAACTCGTAGTGTTCAGAGGCGGAATAACTATGTGATTACTGTAGAAACTTATAAACTTTAAATTTTGGATTCGCATTTGCTTACCGTTGATTTTCTATCTCATTTATCTTGGCTGGTTGTGCCATAATTAAATCCATTGGAGGGACATTGTAGGATTAGCTTACGTAAATGTGCTTGTAAATTGAATAACGTGAGCTAACATTGTTGACAAATTCTACTCGAGAGACACATTAACAAATAAGAAAGAAAAACACTGAATCATCTTTAGTTAATTGTGTCAAAACAACCTAAGCAATTTAAAAACCAAAGAAATTCTGACCATAAAATTTAATTGAAACATAATACATAAATCTTCTTATGACATGTGATATGTTACGTGGCGCTTTCCTGAGATTCCTTGGAAAGGTGACGTAAGGCTAAGAAACCGATGTCAAGGCAGTTGTTGTACGCCAAGTGAGGTCCCCTCCGTACGCTAGACGAGATTGTCAGTGCCGTACGGGAAAACCAATGTCAACAATTAAGAGAACAGTAGTGAAAATTGAATGAAAGCTTGATTGCATTAATAAAAGCTATTACAAAAGAAGGCAACGCGATGTCGATGGGGAGAGACACCAGTATGGAGAATTGTTTGCTAGAAAGTTTTTGATTGCTTGATTCCCCCTAATAATGCTTAAAAAAAATAAACCAAAGCTACAAGACTTGACCAAACTAAGCTAGAGAAACATAATGGAAACACATGGAATAAAACTACTCTATATTTACAATGAAAAGGACTTAGTTTTCTACAAAGTAGAAACAGGTCCGTTGTCAGCAACTTTGTCTTTGGCATCACGATCTGTGCGCGCGGCGCTGTTGGCAGCTGCCTGCGGCTGGATGCTAGCGAGGGTATCGGTGGGACGACAGAGGCACATGCGCACTTGTCACTTGGCACAACCAAGACCACGGGGCCGTCCGTGGCGCTAGGCGTTGGGAGGCTTGCCAGGACGCCACGGGGTGCGTCCAAGGGGTCATGGGGCATGACTGGAAAGCCGCCCATGACATTTTCCCCTACCTGAATTTGCGACATCCTCGGCGCCTTACTTGCAAAATAATCTTCAATTAGGCTCTTGTGGGATTTGAGGTTTGTTCCCTTCTCCCAAGTATTCTTCTCTGCGTCACACCCTTGCCATTATACCAAGAACTCTTGGTGATCCTTCCTGGAGGCATTAATTACCCGATCATCAAGAATAACTTCAGCCCGTCTTTTTCCAGTTGAATTGGGGCCTCAAATACTGGGTATTATGAGTTGGCTCCGTGAAGGATACTCCGTGTCTTCCCGAAATGATTTCAGTAGACTGACATGGAAGACGGGGTGAATTTTCCACCAAGCTGGGGTATCCACCTGGTATGCAACTTTCCCAATGCGTTTTTCTATGAACAAAGGTCCAATATATTTTTGCAACAGGCGAGGGTCATGGACCCCTGAAAATAATTACCGCTTTGGGATTTTGACCATCACTTTGTCTCCTACTTGGTATTCAATAAAGCGACGATTCTGATCAGCATACCTCTTCATCCGCTTTTGGGCCTTAACAAGATAGCTACGCACTATCTCCAAATTCCGCTTCCATTCTTTTGAGAAGCTAGCAGTGTGGGGAGATTTTGACATGTTTGGTGCATTCACAGTGTGTGGGAGCAGCGGTTGTTGCCCGGTAACAATTTCAAAAGCGCTTTTGTTTGTACTCGAGCTCTTTTGTGAATTGTAACACAATTGAGCATCATCCAGGAGCTTTACCCAATTCTTCCGCGATCCGCTAACAAAGTGGCAGAGATATTCCTCCAACATACCATTGAACCGCTCAGCCTGGCTATCAGATTACAGATGAAAACTTGAGCTATGACTCAATTTTGATCCGAGGCACTTAAATAGTTGGGTCCAAAAGTTGCTAATGAAGCATGAATCGTGATCACTAACAATGTCTTTAGGCAGGCCCCAATATTCGATGACATGAGAGAAGAAGAGTCGAGCTATATTTTCTGCTAATATATATTGTGAGGCTACAATAAAGGTGGCATACTTGGAAAACCTATCCACCACAACCAAGATGGTTGTGAGATCTCCGACCTTGGGCAATCCGGTGATGAAATCTAGAGACACGCTTTCCCAAGGTCTCTTTGGGACAGCTAGTGGTTCCAAGAGTCTTGCTTGTGTCAAGTGGTTGGACTTGTCCTTCTGGCACACTAGACAAGTCCTTACATACTGAGCGACGTCATCGGCCATTTGAGGCTAATAATATGCACGGCGAAGTAATGCCATGGTGCGTTCTTCACCGGGATGGCCGGCCCACTGAGTGTCGTGACATTACGCCAAAAGTGTCCTTCTCAGATCTCCCCTTTTAGGAACATAAAGCCGGTTCCTTTTTACCTTCAAGAAACCATCCTCCATATAGAACTGGCGACTTTTGCCCTGTGCTACTAGATCTACCAAATAATGTACAGCAGGATCCTTGACGAGTAGATCATGTATCTGGTCTTTTATGGTGGTAGCTACTTCGCTCCCCCTTAGGGTGGTGAGTAGGCACACTGATGCTAGGTCAGCTCTCCGGCTGAGCGCATCAGCAACATGATTAGTCTTCCCAAGCTCCCGTAGTTTTCTCCTTGCATTGTACTCAACATTTTCGGGGAAGAACTGTAGGTGTATGGATGTCTTCAGTTCCACCCATGTCTCCAGAGCGTCTTCACCGGCCTTGATGGTTTCGTACTTCACCCGCCACTAGAGTTTAGCATCACCCTGAAAGATACATGGCAGCAGTTGCTACCTTCTTGGCTTCTTCTAGGCCTCCCACGGCATCGAAGTACTGCTCGATGTTGAAGATGAAATTTTTCACTTCTTTAGCTTTCCTAGCTCCAATGTATGGTTTTGGCTCAGGAATGTTCAGTTTTTGTGTCATGGGGGCGAGATTCACAGCAACCCCAATTTGATTTCCATCTCCTCGAAGAATGCCTTGTAGAGCGGCATTGACAACATTGAGCTGGCCTGTCAAGTCGTCTATAGTTTGCTGCGTGGCAGTCACCTTGTCTGCCTCTTGTGCCCTGTAGGCTAAATCCTCGGCGCGCTCCTGTTGGAGGCCCTCGAATTTTCCAAAACTTCGGCTGCCTCGGTAGCTGTCGTTTCCCGGTCTCCTTCAGAATCGCGACTAATGTTTTCTATGTCAACTTCGACCTGGATGATTCTGCGATCCAGGTCGTCCAACCTTTACACTAGGCTGGTTCTTAGTTCCGGCACTGTATCCACGATGGGTCGTAATACGTCAAACGTCTCTTAAAGGGCAACAATGCGGTCCCCATGATTCACCATGGTCAGAAATGGAGGTAATGTCAATGCATTCCCTCGTCCGATGTCGAGCCTAGGCTCTAATACCAACTGTCATGCGGCGCCTTCCTAAGATTCCTTGGAAGCGCGACGCAAGGCTAAGCAACCGATGTCAGGGCAGTTGCTGTCCTCCAAGTGAGGTCCCCTCCGTACGCTAGACGAGATTGTCCGTGCCGTACGGGGAAACCAATGTCAACAATTAAGAGAACAGTAATGAAAATTGAATGAAATCTTGATTGCATTAATGAAAGCTATCACAAAAGAAGGCAACGCGGTTTTGAGGGGGAGAGACACCAGTATAGAGAATTGCTTGCTAGAAAGTTTTTGATTGCTTGATCCTCCCTAATAATGCTTAAAAAAATAAACCAAAGCTACAAAACTTGACCAAACTAAGCTAGAGAAACATAATGGAAATACATGGAATAAAACTACTCTATATTTACAATGAAAAGGACTTAGTTTTCTACAAGGTAGAAACAGGTCCGTTGAACACCAACTTTATTTTTGGCATCACGATCTACGCGCGTGGCGCTGTTGGTAGCTGCCTGCGGCTGTGCGCTAGCGAGGGTATCTGTGGGGCGGTAGAGGAACATGCGCGCTTGTTACTTGGCGCAGCCAAGACCACGGGGCCGTCCGTGGCGCTAAACATTGGGAGGCTTGCCAGGACGCCACTGAACGTGTCCAAGGGATCATGGGGCATGGCTGGAAAGCCGCCCATGACAATTTTCCGGAACTGTTCCATTGAACTACAACTGAAGAATAAAACAGTGCATTACTTGTAGCAATTAGTATATACATTAAAGAACAATAATATTTAAAAGAAAAGGGGTGGGGTGGGGTGGGGGATGAATCACTTCTTCCTTGGCATATAAAAATGGCGTCCATCGGTTTTTTGGCGATTTCGAGTAAGAACAGGAATTCATGACGATTTCTAATTCTTTGTGTGCTAGTCATATCCACGATATCTTAATGAATTCATGCGACTATCTACGAATTGGTTAAATTTTATGGACCCAAAACGACCTAATTAATAATAATCATTGATTCGCCATGATCGTTATTCATTTTTTGGCGTTTTAGGGCCAATACCATATGATGCATTATCCACTAGTTT